CAGGGAGGGAGGGACATGATGATAGGCTGTCCTCTTGGATGGGACTGGAGCCTCCAGAGCACTCCTCCCCGTCTGCATTGTCAAACTCCTGGTTGAGCCACAACAGCACAGAAAAATCACACTGGTATAATAAAAAGAAAAGCAATATAAAATGCACTCTTTCACTTAATGATATGGCTGGATTTAGCAGTAACTATCAAGGGCAGACAATGAGAAAGCAGCCATTCTGAACTAATGAGACCCTGTCTGCCAGCTCAACAACAACACTGTCAGGTCAAACGATGGAGGCTTAGTCAAGATTAGACTGAGAGATCATTATTGAACATTTCCACTTCATTAAATTTTAATTATTGACTCATGTTCCCATTTCCATACAGTTTATCAAGGCAAAATTATATATAAAAAAACAAACTGGCATGCACAAAAGGTGTGAAAAAACAAAGAAAGCAGAGAGAGGTGAATAAATCTCTTACATGTTGAAGACTTACATTGAACCCCACTCCTCCTCTCTTACAGCACAGGCAGGTCAGGAGCAGCAGAACAAAGGAGACGAGCCCCGAGCAAGAGATGAGGATGACAACGTAGGGTGGAGGAGAGAGGGACGCAGCCCTGGGCTGAGAAACTGAAAGGAAGACAGGGGAGAAAATACAAGGGAGGAATGGATTTAATACAGAAAGTCAGGGTATTTGTGCTTCTATAAAGGGGGGGGGGGACACACTGTTAGGTTTGAGTCAGTGAGAAGGAAAAGAGAGACTTCACTGAATCAGAAAAGTGTAAAACCGTGTTACATAGGTGTTTTGTTTAGAGGGAAACCATTGGAGCGTGTTCTAAGCGGCAGGTTTGGGACACAGTGGAAGAACCCCAATGGACAGCTTGCATCAGGGATTTGGGGGGAAAAAAGCAGGAAAAGAAACTAAGTTGAAGATAAAAAACGATTGTCTGAATCAGTAAAACAAAATAGAGACTCGAATTAAAGTTTGAAAGTGGGATAATATACCATTCCAGTAAGGACAAAAGCATGGGGAAAGGGGGAAATATCAGAAATGGCATTCCACTCAGGAAACACAGTTAAGAAGCAGGGGAGGGGTGGCTGGAGTTTTCATTTAGGTAAAAAGGAGCGCTAATTGGGAAGGGTTGGAAACTGGAAAATAATTACTCAAATCAGGAAGGTTTACTACTCAGGTGAGAGGGGGAGGGATTGGGACATTTGATATTTGTACCTCAACGTAGTCGATTGTGGGAAGTGAACCATCTGTAGAAAAGAAAAGGGGCAGGGCAGGGTGGTTAAATACCCGTCAGGTATTATCTATAGGTTTCAGTATAATACTGTAGCAAAAATATGTCAAACATTACATCACTTGACAAGAGAGAGGAACAATGACACCTTGAAACAGTGGCGTCCAACTCATGCTGGACGCAGTGAAGGATTTATATATAAAATATAAACATTCATATTTAAACCATGGCTGGGAATGAATGACTATTTTTTTCTGTGTAAACAAAGCAGCATTTTAGGCTGTGAGAATAACATTAGCAAGATATTTAGTAGAAATTTCACCACGTAAAATAACATTTACTCCCCAAAAAAACCGTTAAAGGTTTTACTGACATTACATACATTTTAAATTGTTGTTAAGACACAAAATACAGTATTACAATAACTGTAAACATGAGAAATAATAAACATGTGCTGGGAGAAATAATGATATTAACCCAGGGGGTTAGGGTACATAAACATATTCAAATTTATCTTATGTTAAGTCAGGGCTTTAAATAGCCCAATTTCAGTCTGTGTCCATCATACAAATCCAAAAATACATTCATTCATAAGGTCATGCTATTGTAAACACTGCATACATAAATTTCAAAGTATATTTAATAATTTACCAAACTAATAAATATTGTAAAAAGAGGCTCAGCATTCCACTAAAACTCTAAGACATTAAGTTTGTTTTACTTCCAAGATATATATGTAGGACTCATTTAATCAACACTTCAGCACATTTTGTATTTTTTTTTTTTTTTTGTCCCTGAATTGTTTTTTTTGTTTTTCAAAAAGTTGCAACACAGACAGAACAAGATTCAGTTGTTTCACTCATCCCCAGCATAGGTAAATTACGATGTGTGCAGCATATAAAACCACCTTCCTATTAAAGTGTAGGCAGGTGAATGGTCCAATCTGTTGCTAATAAAATAAAGCTGATGGGCTTATACTGGATAACAATAAATGATCAGTCTTGTCAGCTTAAGCCCAAGAAAATCAAGAGAAAAACAGCTAATTGTTCCTGATCACCTGCAAAACAAGGGGCCTAATATGAAGACTAAATTACCCTTTTTCCAGCACGGTCCCTTAAACATGCACCAAACATATAACTGGTGGCTCCAGTCCTGATGCACAATTCCTGTGCAGTGCTATTCTTTCATCTTTCCCTAGACAGATGTCCAGACAGACACTGCATATAAATAGGAACCTAACACAGGGCCCTTTCCATCAGCCCCGGTGCCAGCAGCTCTTATCAAAACAATACACCACAATACAATGACTGCACACATTACACAAACACAACACTCTGCCAGATCTTTGGGGGAAGAAGGCATATTCAGATTGAGAAAAACAAAGATGCCAGCACTGGTTAATAGGCTAAATAATCTCCAGTGCCTAGCGGAGGGTATTTATAGACTAAATATCTCGCACTGGCCGACGATTTTAGCCAGCTATTCATACAGTATGGGTTGTTTTTAAATGCCATCGATGTGAGGCCCGAGATCGAAACATCCCCCCCTCCCCACCCCCCTCCTAATATTTTCATCACTGCATGCGAATATGGTACCCTACCCATCACCAAATCAGCCTCGCTCCTGTTTTCATTAAGTCAACCACGGAGCCTACTGCAATAATAATTCGCATTATGTCTCAGTCATACAGGCTGATAATACAACCCCCCCCCCCTCAATGTAGAGAGGCCTTTTCATAACTGACTACATCCCCCCTCTCTCTCCCTCTCTCTC